TTGTAATAGGTGTTGAATATTGCCAACTCGTTTTTGAAAGAGTGATGGTGGGTGTGTGGCTATTTCTGTAGCTGTAGGGTAATCGGTTGGTTTGGGAAGGCTCAGATTATGGAATTAGTATCCTTAGAATTGTGTGGGAAATGGTTCCAGCCCAGTTCAAGGTAAGCAACCTTTACCTGTGGAACTTAACAATTTGCAGGCTCTGGGTCCCATTCAGATTCCCAAAGAGTAACAACAGCATTTTAAGAGCTATGAAGACAAAGTGGAGTTCCTAAACCCTAGTAGTCTCCAAACTGCAAGACAGAAGACACAGGGAGGGAGCAGCCAATACAATGGGTCTAGATGTTAGCACAATTAACGGCAAGTTAAGAAGGGTTTAAGAATGTGTCTGGGTCTCTTAGGACACCAACACCAGTCAGCAAATGTCACCTTGCTTTTTCTCAGGCTCAATTTGTGCCTCTGTTATTGTGCACAATTTGTGACTGTGCTACTTTACTGTCCATTTATTTAGGAAAATTAGGAAAGCAAGACTCTTGGGATGGGAAAAATATTCTGAGAACATTTGGTCTGTGCTGGGCCAAACATCACCTACTTTGCCTCTCTAAGTGCCAACAGGAACCACAGCCAAACACCCTCAAAACAAACATTTATTATTGCATGTCTCAAGACCAAAACAAGTGCTTCCCTTTTGGAGACATTTGCAGTTGAAAACTCAAAACAACAGTTAACAATTGGAGCAACTGAAATACCCAAAATTAATCCAAGTAAAACAAAACAAAAAATGTTTTTCTTTTTAAATGCAAACTTTCTTAATAAGTAGCTGTATGTAGACTTTGATCACATCCCTTCCCTACTCTCGTTCCCATTTTTGGAGGGAGCATCCAGGATCAGTCTTGTGCAGTCTGCCATCATTCAGACAGCATAACTTAGGACTAATGGAAAGAAGCTGAAAAGAGGGAAATCTGGGCTTCATTTAGGAAGACCTTCCTTACAAATGTGAAATGGGCTGCCTCAAGAAGAAGACAGCATAAAAAAAGAAGAAGAGGGCTTGCCCCTCACTAGAGGTCTTCCAGCAAAGACTGGATGATCACTTGTTGGCTATGTTAAAGAGGAATTCTTTTTTGGGGGGGGGATCCTCAGTGCTTAGTATAGTACCTGGAACATTACAGGAGCTTAATGTATATTGATTGATTGATTCGTATTAATTGGAGTACATGGTCCTTCCACTCTGGGTCTGTTAGTGTCTTACACGCTGACCTCAATGCCTCTTTTTGCTGCCTTTAACCTTAAATAGCAGCACTTTCACATTTCTATCCTTCTCATCTTTACCCAGACAGGGTTTTACTATTCACTGATTTCCCTCGTTATTATTTATTTATTTTGTTCTGAACTATCTAGCTTTCCCACAGACCCAAACCTGAGATGTTATAACCCAGGCTATGCACTACACCTGAATGCTAACTGAGGCCAAGGTAGAGGAAACTTCTGTACCCTAAGTATCTTTGGAACAAACTAAACAGGCCAAATTGGCAGTTCTTACACCTGAGAACCTCAGCCAAGTGTCCTACTGGGAATATTACCAGCGGGGGGGGGGGGGGGGGGGGGGGGGGTTAATCTCACTGCCTTGCCTGCGGCTATTTACCCAGGACTACCTGTCAGACTCCAGTTTTCAAACATTAACCTGAAAGCAGCTTCAGAGAAAGGGAAACTGAACCCCAGCTGTGAGCAGCAATATCACTATTTAACAAAAATATGGCTCCTCCTTTCTCTAGCAAGTTTACTGCAGCCTGAGGCTCAACTCCAGTCAGATCCTGGGAAATAGTCCCTCACTTTCAAAGGAGCTGGCTCACATGCCAGCAGAGAGGATCTGGGCCACCTTAGTGCTGGGTAGGCCCCCATGTACATATCTGTTCAGGGCCGGGTCTTGTGAGTGCCCCCCAGGAACAGGGATGGGGGAGGATCTCTTAATCAGCAGACACTGGATTCCTGACAAGTATTTTTCTTCCCCCAAATTTCTCAAAAGTTCTAGCTTCAAGAAGGTAAATTTCCTATCTACAAAGAGTAGAAAGTTTCTCCTCAACTAAGAGCCCAGATAAAAACCCAAAGGAGTGCAAGACCCAGTCTCCAAACTCATTCAGAACCGTTTTTTTGTTCTGTTTTGGTTTTCTGCTAGTGAATAAGGCTGGATGAGGGAGAATTGGGCTACAGTAGGTCATTCCCCTTTCTTTCGCCTTAAAAGTCTGAAAGGGGCTTCTCAGTCCCTCATGAACCAGCAAGCGTTACAGAAATACATGCACCGGGGCATGGGGCCCTTTGCCAATCTTTTAAAAAGTGCACAAGCTGCATCTATGGTGCCTCCAGCTTGCCCCTAGAGGAAGGGAATGGGAGAACAAGCTGGCATGATTCAGCCCACAGGAGTCAGGAGGCGGGTCTGTGCAAGAAGGGAGTTCAGTAGGAAAGAGTAGGGGAGAAGGCAAAGAGGGCTGTGGAGGGAAGGTGGGTTCTGGTGGTCAAAAACGAAGAGAACAAGCCTCAGGGAGTCAACAGAAACCTGGTCAGAGAGAGGGGCATAAGGCTGTGCCAGGGAAGGGAGGAGGGGGTGGGCAAGCATAACACAACACCTCAGCCTAGTGATAGGCAGAATTGGGGGGAGGTATCTCACAAAGGGGCAATCAGAGGAAAAGAGTTTGTGCGCTATGACTATCCTGGAAAGACCCCAGAGTGACAGGGTGGAGGTCCTGTATCCAGGACCAGTGGGAGGCAGTGAACCCTAGAAGGCATATTTCACAGGACTGTTTCTTCCTGTCTCACAGACATCCCCTTCCCTCGGTGAGCAGACTGCTGGGGGGGGGGTTGGGGGGAGATGAGGAGACATAAAACAAGACACAACATTGGCTCCTTGTTTGTGAAGACAGCAATAGCAATGGCCCCGCTTGCCACAAGCACCAATCCTGTGGCATTGGGGAGGATGACCGGGGGTGGCTGAGAGGACAGAGATGCATTTGGGGAGGGCCAGAACAGAATTGGAGGCACTGGATAAGACCACCAGCCTGTGAGGAAAGAGGGACAGAAAGCTGCTGCGCGTGGAGGGAGGAGGGAGGAAGGAAGGAAGGAAGGAAGGAAGGAAGGAAGGAAGGAAGGAAGGAAGGAAGGAAGAAAGGAAGGAAGGAAAGGAGGGAGGAAAGGAGGAAGGGGGGAGGGTGGGAATGGAAGAAGGAAAGGAATGGAATGGAAGGAGAGATGAAGTCTAAAAGACGCAACTGCAAGAAGACTAGGCTGGAGAAGGATAAAGATGGGGGAGCTCCTCCGTGACATTGCCGCAGCGCGGTGGGTGTGGGACTGGGTTTAAATCAGGTGGGATTTCCCCAGTATCCCAGCTCCCTGTAATCTCCTTCCTTCTTTTTGGGGGGAGGGGAGGGAGTAAAGGGAAGGGGTGAAGTCTTTCCGTCCCAGGCCGTGCCTCGGCCACCCCATCCTCCGTAGGAGGTGGGAACATGGAGAGAATGCAGCGGGTAGAGGAATGGGGCAGGGGGAGACGCCCCCGGAGAAGCGGGATGCGAACGGTGAGTTAGCAGGAAGGTAAACAGCCACGCCCCCTACAGTCAGTCCCCTCAGTTGCGCACGCCCGCCGCCGCCGCGGGTACATTTCCACTGCACTCCCAGCGTATCTCCTCCTCGCGCCCGCCCGGCCCTCACGCGGCTGCCGGGGGCAGGGGGCGGGGGACAGCGCGCGCCACCCCAGGACACCGCCGCCCCCACTCCTGGGCCGCAGCCCCTCCCCAGGGGCGTCAGCACCCGCCAGCGGCTAGCCAGCCGGTCGTCCGCTCACCTGGGCAGTGACGCCCACCCGAAACACGGTGGATCCTTTTCCTCCCCTTCAATCTGCACCCCCCCACCTCCTGTTCCTGCTTCCAAGGCGCAGAGTGCAAGCACTCGGGAAAAGTGATCCGGCCTGGGCTTGGGGTGGGATAGGGGATGAAGATGAGGGAGAATAAGGGGGCGTGGGGGGAAGCCTGCAAAAAGCGGAGGAGAAAGGTATCTGGGCGGCGCGAGAGCCCCCAGCACGTGAGCCGAGGGTCATGTGCACCAGCCAAAGCCCGAACACCCAAGCGCCCAGGACGTGCTGCGTATCAGCAAAATGAGACTCGGGTCAGGTCCAGCGGTCTTCGAACCCCCACCCCCCACCCCCAGCCTCCTCCCGCACATGCAGCCCGCCTCCCGGTTCCTCTCCATCTCTCCCGCCAGCTCGCTTGCCTTCTAGCTTGCTTTCCTGCCCGCCCGCCTCACCAGCACACCTTCCTCTCCCTGACTCCCGGCCCCGCCGCCCAAAGCCAGCCTCAGCTCCAGCTCGAACCCTGCTCCCGCTGGCCAAGTTGTAATCTCCTACCCAGCCCATACCACCACCACACCACCTCCCCCCCCAGTTCCCCGCCTGCACCGCCCCCGGCCCCTAACCCTGCACAGCCCCCCACACCCCATCCCTGCCCCCTGGCCCGGCCCCCGGGGTGGATTTGCCGCAGTCATTAATAAGGAAGGTTTTAAACGCTCACCCTTCTAAAAGTTGTTGTTTACATGCCTCCCCTCTCTGCCTCCCGGTACAGTACTCTTTAAAACAGGACTGACCAACATGCGCAATCTCTCCCTCGCTATGCTGTGCATCCCCACCGCCCCCCCCCCCGCTCGCACCAGCTTCCTTCTGAGAGAGAGAGAGAGAGAGAGAGAGAGAGAGAGAGAGAGAGAGAGAGAGAGAGAGAGAGAGAGAGAGAGAGAGAGAATGGAACTAGAGGAGAAAGATGAGATGGAGGGGAAAAGAGGGTAAGACAGAAAGGAGAAAGAAGAGGAGACCCAAGGACAGAGAGAAGGAGGGAAGAGGGAGAGACACAGGGGAGAAATGAGAAATCTACAGCAGATCCGCTGCAAAAATAAAATAAATCCACAATAAAGCCTAGAATGGCTGTGACGCGCATCCATTCATCCCCATCCCCACCAGCCCTGCTCACCAGCAGCAGTGGCGGCAGCAGCAGTAGCAACAGCAGCTCCAGTTCGGTTTTACCTTGCGAGGAGGCGTCCTCGGGAGTTGATATCCCCTCAGGTTAGGAGGACAGGAAGGGCAGGGGGGAGGGAGAAAGGGATGCTCCCGAAATTAAAACAACTTGGGGGAGGGGGCACAGAGACAGCAGCAGGCAGATCATGAGCCACTTATCATTGCAAAAATAAAAAATAAAACCAGCCGGTAAAGACCCCCAAACACAGCTGGGGACCAAACCCCGCCGACTCCTCAGATGCCTCCTCCTCCAGCCTAGGAGTGGATACAAAGTAACTCCATAGATGCGAATCCCCCCCAAAAAATTGCTTCCAACTGCGATAGCCTCGCTCTGCACAATTCACCACCCCTGTGTATGTTTCTGTTTCTTTTTAAACCAAGACTTCCTTGTGATCTCTTTAGAAAAAAAAGTGTTGGGGGGAGGAAAGGGGAGTAGCCACTTTCCCCCCTTATTCACTCAGATCTTCTTTCTTAAATTTTCTCCTCCCCCCGCCCCCCACCCCCCACCTCGCCCTCCAGGGTTGTTGCGAGTCCAGGTAGCACAGCCCCATCTCCGGGAGTGTGTATATGTGCTGTATTGTGTTGCGTGTGTGTTGCCGTTCCCTCCCTCTCTCCCGGGCCCCCGGTGGGGCTGAGGGGTCTCCCCCAGTCTCTCTCCTCCCTCCTCCTCCGCCGTTGCCGCCGGGAAGAGCGGACAGATCGCACTCTGGGCAAGTTGTATTAGGTCAGTTTCGCAATGATCTTCAGTAACACACACACATACATACACACACACACGCATGCATACACACACACACAACAGCAGCGCACTTTATTTCAGACACGCGCGCGCGCACAGCGGATCTCCCGGCCCGGGCGGTGCCCCTCCCCCTCCTCCCTTCCCGCAACCTTTAAAAAAAAAGCTTATACTTAAAAAAATCTTTTGGCGCCATATTAATGACGTACTTAAAATTTGCCATTTCTCCCTGCGTCAAAAATACGTTTCTTTGCACAGCTCAGACCGGAGGGGACACACGCCGGGCACTGGGGCTGGGCTGGATTCCCCCCCCGCCCGGTGGGCGGGCGCGGGAAGCCCCCGGACCCGCAGCTCCGCGCTTTAAAAAAGGCCGCTGAAATCAACAAGAGGCGGCGGCTGCCACTAGAGAGCGCAGAGGGGGCGCTCCTCCCCAAGCCCCCAGACACCAACTTCTTGGGGGAGGGGTGCGAGAAGTTGGGGGGGCCACCTGAAGAAAAGATGAGAGGACGCCCCGAATGGGTAGGGGAGCCCCGCTGGCCGCGGCTCCCCGGCTTCACATCCGGAGGGCGGGAGGTGGGGTGGGGGTGGGGAGGCGTGAATCTCGCCCTAGCCCCAGCTTCAGTTGCCCTTGTTGTGACCCCGCCCCTTTGCTCACCCCATCCCACTTCTCCCCAACCCCCAACCCCCGTCCCCTAAAGGGTTAAAAAAAAAGCAACTTCTAAGTGTGTGCTCTTTAAAAGGAAAGTGGACGTCCCTGTCCCGTCTCCCGCCCCCCACCTCCTCTTTCTCTCCCTCCCCCGACTCCTGCTTCCCTCCTCCTCTCCAGAGCCACCTTCTCTGCTTCCAGACTTGACCTTGTAGTGCACAAACAATGCACTTCAGTCGCTGGCTGTTTTCTAGAAGAGCTCCAAGGGCTGTTCGCCTGCCAGTCTGTTTGCGGATGAAAGCCGTGGCGCTTCCAGTATCAGCCTAGCCACACCCACCCTTGCCGGCCTGCGAGTCTCCTTTCCCTCTAGGAAGAACTGTTATTAATGGGGGCCGCAGGGCCCCACAACCTGCTCCTGCATCCCCCCCACCCCACCCCACCCCACCCCTTCCTATCCCAGCTCACACCCACTGTGTGGGGATGAGAATGCCTCCCCGCCCCCAACATGAAGGCTCCGAGCTTCTCCGGACACCGAAACACAACTTTCTTTCCTTCCCCTTTTGGCTACACCTCAAGATGATCCAGTAATTCGAAAAGAACTCCCTTCCCTTGGAGGACGGGAGGAAAGATTTGTGAACTGCGATGCGAAGGGCAGTCTCTTAGAAAGTTGTTTATAATCTTAAACCCCCTTCCTGGGAATAGATATTCAATTTACATAAGATGACATTTATGTGATAATTAGGAAGATTCTCTGATGGAATGTTGTGAACACATTTGCTTATAGGAGAAATAAATCCAGTGATAAACAAACTGATAATAACAGCACAGATCCTCTAACAGGACAAGTTGTCGACACAAGAAAGGCCAAGATGACTGATGCTAAAACAAGCAAATTTTGCAATAAGAAAAATAGAATCCCAAAGGCAGCGTTCAACTTCTTCATTCACAAAAACTGCAACAAGCTTGTGTCTGCTCCATAGCTAAAGAGAAGAGGAGAAAGCAGGGATAACCTTGGAAGGGAAAATCAAAAAGGTGGTCAAAGATGAGAATCTTTGTTGGGCCTGAAGATGTAACTTGATTTCCATATACCCAAGGTCATCGAATAGAAAGGGAATGTAAATGATTCCTTTTTTTTTTTTAAAAAACTCTGTCCCACTTACTCCCTGTATATCCTCTCAGGACCTCAGTTTCCCAATTAGAGGATTAGACAAGGTGGTCTTGAAGGTCCTCAGTCTGTGTTTTACAGTGGAAAAGCACCTTCTTAAACTGTTGTTTATAGGTTGGCATAGATTATATACCATACTGGTATAGGTTAGTTAAGATGAGTTGATACCAAAAAGGTGAACAGTGTCATGTTAGTGCTGTCTGTGGTCTGTGTAGAGAGGAATTCTTGTTGTGGAGCTCAAAGCATCATCCAATGTCTAAGTGCAAACTTTACCCAGAGCCACACCCCATTCTGCTCTAAATCTGTTTTGTTTTTCAATTAGCCTGGAGTTAGGAGACCTAAATTATGGAATTGCTGCATTTCAGAGCTGGAAGAGGCATAGAGAGCATCCAGTCCAACCCATTGTGGTTGGAAAGGTAACTGGATTTTGAGTCAAGATCTGGGTTCAAAATCCTGATCCTGCTGCTTACTATTCTGGGCTTCTGTTTTCTTATCTGTAAATGTAGGGAAATAAAATCTAAGTCCCTTCTAGCTCTGTCTAATGATCTGATAATCCATACCTGAGTAGGATTCCCCTCCGCAACATCCTTGACAGTTGTGTTATCCAGCCTTTACTTGAAAACCTCCAATGATAAGGAGTATATTAAATCCTAAGGTAGCTCATTCAACGTTGGTGGTTTTCATTATTAGAAAGTTTTGCATAGGATCATAGAATTAGAACTGGGAGATGTTCATTTTACAGGTGAGAAACCCCGTCAAATAACTTGTCCCAAATCACAAAGTCAGTAAGCAAAAGAGCTGAAATTTGACCCCAAGTCTTCTGACTCCTAATTCAATGTCCTCTTCACTATACCATTTTCTTATACTGAGTTTGAACCTGCCTCTCTGCAACCTCCCCCCACAGAGTGCTGGCGAGCTCTCTCTCTCTCTCTCTCTCTCTCTCTCTCTCTCTCTCTCTCTCTCTCTCTCTCTCTCTCTCTCTCACACACACACACACACACACAGAGCCAGATATAGATGTAAGGGGGAGGGGAGAGTTGACTAACAATTTGATCGGACCACCTAGAACTTATAGTGCTCATCCTGTCCTACTGAGCTCTGCTAATGCCCAAGTCCCTTGAAATATTTATAGTCTCACAATGCTTGGAAGGTTAAAGAAGTTAGTCTGGTTAGAATACCCAGGTACCATTGAGTTCATAAGACCAGTACCAATATCATGATTTCTCAGAATTCACTAGGAATCCCCAGAGTCTAACTACAACTTACCCAATTAGGTCTTAATTTCTCCAGGGGTGGGAGGTTGTAAAGGAAACATGGCAGCTTCCAGTACCATTTCTCCTAGGACCATGTTCCCAAAGTGCAAACATCATTCATGGCCAGCATGACACAAAAATGCAATCATGTCTAATAATAATCATACCAACAAACAACAGTCATATTTTCTCTGCACTATGGCAGGGAGCTCTCTCTGAGTTGTCAGAAAGAGCTCTATGACTCTCCCTAGGAGAATCGCTTTTGAAATCATTACTTTCACCACTCGATTTAGTTCAGCAAATATTTATTGAGTATTATCATACAAGTCTCTGTGCTAGGTGGGAGGGATAAAAAGGCAATAGCAGACCAGGTCCTGTTCTCAAAGAACTCATGTTTTACTCTGTTTCCCATGTGCTGGTTCTGTCTGCTGGTTCAGCAGAAAGAGACCAGGCAGGGGACTGCTAGGGCAGAATGGTATATGCATTGGCAGACAGGGCCACTGTTGCGTCATGTTTTTGTTTAACTATATTTTCTTGTTACAAGGAAGAGTTAAATTCCAAGGGAGAGGGTCAGAGTCATTTCAGAAATTATTGTGATAGGAAAACAAAACTTTTTTTTAAACACTTTCCTTTCTTAATCTCAGTTACACATCTGGAAAATGGAGGTAATAATCCTGGTTCTTTGTTCTCAGAGAGTCTGTGAAGAAAATGTATGTAAAGTACTTTGTAACCTATTATATTATATTATATATTAGCATTATATATTAGCCATTATTATGATAATTTTATCTGTCATTTCTTTAGAATTTAATTGGAAGCTCCCCAAAAGCAAGGACCACATTTTAACGCCATATTACTGACCCTGGTGCTAGGTAAACTGTAGCCACTTACTAACATTCCTCACCCACCCACATATTATCTCTACTTTTTGAAAGTCTACTCATTCCTAAAAGCCAACTTCTTAGAAGCCTCCCCAAATTCCTCCATATTTGGAGATGACCTTTTCCTCTTCAGACTTCAAATAGCACTTTGAACTTATTATATTCTGATCTAGTTCAAGGTTTTTGTGCATGGCAAACGGAGTTGGATTCTCCCTACTAGAGTGCAAACCCCTCTGAGGGCCAGCACTGAGCTTTAATTGTATTTCTATGGCCCCTGGTACCCCAAATTGGGCCCTGCATGCATTAGAGATCTTAATAAATAGCTGTGGAATTAATTAATTGGAGGCAGAGTGTAATGAGCTTGGGTATCAGTTAATTCACTGCAATGGCCTAAACCTCTTCATGTCCCTATCACAACACTTGTTCTGTTTACCGAACAGTAATTTGAGTCCTAGAGAAAGAATTGGGTTAGATTAGCACTTGAGATGGTCAGAGTGTTATTTAAAATTAAAAAAATTTTCTGGCCATCTGGAGGCAGCCATTAGAAGACAGAACAGTATCTGATTTAATAATAGCTCATATTTATACATATAGCGCTTTAAGATTTACATAATAACCACACAAGATTTGATAGAAGTATTTCCTCATTTTGCAGAAAAGGAAGGTGAGGCTCCCAGAAAGGCCGAGTGATCTGACAGTGGTCATCTAGCTAGTGTCAGAGTTGAACCTAGGCTCCCAAGTTTGGCTCTTTGTAATGGTTAAGATGAGAGATTTGAAGATCCACGTTTTTGTGAC